AAAACATGCTGCTCACTTGGCGACGTCGGTGGACAGCGTCGCTCTCCCCAGCGAAGTGGAGTCGGGCCGACGTCGGTGACCCACATGTCGGCTGGGCGGGACGGGATTGTGCCGGCGTTTAGCTAATAAAAGGTCGACACGACCTGCTCGCCTGGACGGGGTCAATTGAGCCCCAACTGGAAATCGTCGGGCTCAAGAAGTTTGTCGACGGCGACGTGTTGGTGCCGGACGAGGAGGACGCCCAGCTCTGGTCGGGGTTCTGTGTCGCTCATCTGCTAACCTTCGTGGTCATCTCGCGGTGCTGCTCGCCGATGGTGCAAGTCGCCCTGAAGTCGTGCCGACTTCTGGTGGACGCTGGCCACCAAGTGTGGCAATTCATCATGAGGATGTACAAGTCGAGCGACGATTTGTACATCGGCCAACTGGAGGAAAATCTGACCCACATGAGGATGGGCAAGCAAGAGTCGGCTACCGTCTACTGCAATCGTGCTGGGTGACGTCAGGATGGTCGCCGCCGACTACTCGATGGCGTCCTACATCACGCACGTCGTCAAGGGCCTCCAGAGCGGCTACAACCTGATGCGCCGCATGTTGGCGATGACCTGCGTGAGTGAGTCACTCGGCGAGGACACCCTCACTAGCCACATCATCAAGGATGAGGTGATTCAAGAGGCAGAACGGCCCACAGAGCTCCTTCTGCCGCCGAACTGCGTCGTCCTGATGAAGCCGGGAAGTTGGCAGGGGCAGCGAGGTGATAGCGGAGGTGGGAAGTCGCCGAAGGACGCCGACAAGACAAAGTCGGCCGGGGATGGTGGTCGACGACGAAATTTTGGGTTTGTGGCGACCCCGACCACCTTTCTTTCGAGTGTCCCGACCGCGAGGAGTCCGATGACGATGACAAGGGCAGTCGCAGAAGGTCGGCGGGTCGTCGTCCATGTCGGGAGAGCAAGCCGCGCAAGGAGAAGCAGTCGACAACGTCGGCGAAGGACGCCGACTCCTCCTCTGGCGGCAAGGGGCAAGGCAACGGGGAGGTGTCGTGCTCGCTGGTCGGCGTCGTGGAGCCGACCGTCTCGCTAGCGCCGGAGGCCGGCAATGACTTCAAGGCGGTGGCGGCCGCCATGCAGGCAAACCCGGCGGTGGTTCCGCTCAACAGCGGCTGCTCAAGGAGACGAAGGAGGCCTTCGTCGACCTGGGGCCGAGCAGAGACGTGAAGCCATACGCAAATTCAATGGGGCGCTGCAGACTGCCAAAGGCAGCGGCACAGTCACCTTGCAAGGGGACGCAGGGAATCAGGTCCTCATCCCTAACGTAATCTACGTCCCGGTTGTGCAGGCGAACCTACTGTCGGCCGGCCAGCTGAAGGACAGCGGTGTGCGACTGCATGACGACGGCGATGAGATGCTGCTCGTCTCGGCGGCGGGAGACGTGCTTGGTCGGGCAAAGTACATCGGCCGGGTCCTCTGCACCGACTTCTGCCCTTGCATGACGAAGCCGACGGCGGCCACGACGCAGGCGGTGGCCTTGCGGACGATTGCCTCTGCGACGAAGTTGACGCCGGACAGGTGGCACGCGAGGCTCGCACAAGTCGGCGTCGACACCATCACGAGCTCGACGAAGCACGAAGTCGCCACTGGCCATCAAGCCATCAACCGGGGCCGACTTGCCGTGCGTCTTCTGCGTCGGCGGGAAGTTGGCGCGGCACGCCTCCCCGGCAAGAGCTCGGACACCGACAAGGCCCTGGCCTTCGTGCACATCGATCTTTGCGGGCCGTTCCGGGTGGCCACCAAGGATGGCAGCCTGCACTTCTTGTTGCCGAAGGACCGCAAGATCCGCTTCGTGTGGGTGAAGTCGATCGCAAAGAAGTCTTACGTGCTACGGGAGTATGAGAACTGGCTGCTGGTGGTGGAGCGACAGACGAAGAAGTCGGTGCTTATGCTCCGCCCCGACCGCTGAAGGGAGTTCCTCAGGAGAGCCTTCACCGACTTCATGGACGGAAAGGGCATCGTTCACGACTTGACCTGCCCGTATACACCACAGCAGAACGGCAAGGCAGAGCGGGAGATGCGGACAGTGGTAGAGTCTGTGCGGACGATGTTGTTGCACATGGGTCTGCAGCACCACTGGTGGCACCTCGCCTTGCGCGCAAATGCCTTGAACGGTCGGTGTTGCGGGAAGTTGGCGCAACTGCATGGTGTGGTTCATGGTTCCCAAGCAGCAGCGTTGCGGGAAGTTGGCGCCGAAGGCCCGGTGGAGGCTCCACCTCGGTGCGTCACCGCAGACCAAGGGCTGGGAGGTGCTCGACTTGACTGACAACAAGGTGGTCACGTCGGTCAAGGTCATCTTCTATGAGATGTTGTCGCTGGAGGTGTGGAAGACGGAGTACGAGCTGGCGTCGGGGCGGACGCAGCCCAACCCGCCGACAGTCACCTCCACGGCGACCTTCCCGCAGCTCGCCGACGCAGCGTGATGACGAGGACGTCCAGGACGTGCGCCCTCCCTCTCCCCCCCCCCCCCCCCCCCCCACCCCCCCTTGTTCCCATTGTCACACCCCTTGTCGGCCATCTGCGATGATGGGAGCCTTGGGGCGTCGCCTGTGGCACCGGCTAGTGGCATCGCCGGCGGCCGACTTGACGTCAAGCATGTCGGCGAGAAAGAGAAGCCGCCGACGTCAGGGGAGTCGTCGACGGGGGAGCAGCGGGCGGTGAAGTCGGTAGGGGAGCAGACGACCCGGGAGAATTCGGCATTGACGCCAACTTTGGTGCAGCAGGACGACGAGGGCGCTGAGCTGGCGACAACAAAGGGGAGCTGTCGGCGGGGGAGGAGTCCACCGACAGCGACGTGGTGGAGATCCAGGTCGACCAGCCTGGACCACGGCGTTCAGGTCGACTTCGGAGGCCGCCGGAGTGGCTGAGCTTCCATGCCTGTCTGGCGCGGGCCGCCTTCACCACGCTGCACGACGATGCTGAGGCCAATGTCCACGCTGCCACCAACGTGCACGCCGACCCGGAGCACCGTTGGGACATCACCAACATGACGGTGAAGGAGGCGTTGGCAAGCTGGAAGAGCAAGGTGGTGAAGGCCGCCATGGACGAGGAAATACGCAGTCTCATTTCCATCGGCACTTGGGAGCTGGTCGAGCGTCCGCGCGGGGTGAACATCATGAAGAACCGGTGGGTGCTGATGACGAAGTACCACGTCAACGACACGGTCGCTTGGGAGAAGGCAAGGCTGGTTGTGAAAGGCTTCACACAGGTGTACGGCGCCGACTACGATGAGACGTATGCGCCGGTCAGGAGCTACGTCACGCTGAGGATCTTCCTCAGCATCCTCGCCGTCTTCGACTTGCACCTAATGCAGCTCGACATGAAGAACGCTTTCCTGCAGAGCAAGCTCGACCGGGTGTTGTACATGTACCAGCCGGGCTACCACGACGACGGGACCGGCCGGGTGTGCAAGCTGCTAAAGAGCATGTACGGGCTGAAGCAGTCGCCGCTGCTGTGGTCCTCGGCTCTCGACGCCGTCCCAACCGGCGTCGACTGGAAGAAGAGCCAGTCCGACGAGGCGTTGTACTTCAAGGTCGGTGACGACATAGTGACCGGCTAGGTGCTGGTCTACGTCGACGACCTGCTCGCCGCCAGCAGCAGCACCACGATGCTGAAGGAGCTCCTGGAGGCCGCCTTCGAGCTGCGCGAAATCAGCCCGGTCGAGAAGTACCTCGGGCTGGAGATCGTGCGCGCCTGTCCGATGAGGAAGCTGTGGCTCCACCAGCAGACCTTCGTGGACAAGCTGCGTCGATGCTTCATCAAAGAGGAGCAGGGCGGGCGGATCCCCCATCGTCGCCTACGGCGAGCTGAAGTTTGACGACGAGGACGCTCAGTCACGCGAGGAGGAAGAGTACCGGCATAAGGTCGGCTCGCTTCTGTGCGCGCTGCGGCGGCTACTGTGCGCGCGGGGGCGGCTGTTGAGCGCGCGGCGGCAGCTGCTGTGTGCAGGATGCGGGACGGGGCGGGACAGGGTGCACAGCAGCGTGCGGCGGTGGCTACTAAGCGCGCACCCTGCTGTGCACGCGTTCGTGCGTTACAGGGCGTGTTATGAAGTGCGTTACGGGGCACGTGACGGGGCACGTTACGTGGCTCGTTACGAGGCACATAGCTAGGCTAGAATGTGACCTACAGCTGATACCATCTCAATTACTATCTTAGAGTAGGGAGAATGGTGATGGTCAACTCGTAAGGGTTGGGTACAAGTGTCGAGAGAATCATGTACCCCCGACTGTGAACCTCATTGTAGCCTAGAATTCCAACAGACATATAAACAATATTTGACACATACCATGTAGCACTACAAATGGGGGATACGAGGGGGTAGGGAGGGGGGGGGAAGGATGGAGCACTGAACCCACATGCTCGCGTACCGGCAGAGGTCAATGAATAATTTAATGAAAACGTACATGAGCCGAGCGAATGAGTACCCGTGACAGTATGACAGCCCTCCTTGGTGTATGCCCATGCAAGTTGCCCACTGAAAACTCTACTAGACAGAATTTGTCGCTCACTGCCATCCTTGGTCAACGTTGAATGGGCGTCACAGCCACACACCACATCCCCATGTGAACCACATGTCCGCATCCCCACCGTCTAACCCCTCAGGTGTATTCAGTGCCAGTGCCTCGGCATAAATCATCTCCTTTTTACTCTCATTTGATACAGAAACCGCCCCTCCTAGCCAATGGTGTGAATCGCGTTGACTCACAACCACTGCAATCATCAACAGCAGCACCACCCTAAACCGCCACCAACACCATCATCACCACTATCACCACCAGCACCCCTATCATCATCTCATGTCAGCATCCCCATCGCCATCCACCCCCTCCCCATCCTCCACAGGTGCATTCAGCGCCAGCGCCTCAGCATAAATCATCTCCCTTATAATCTCATCCGATAAAAACGGCCCCTCAAAGTCGAAGTGAAATGGCTCGTCACACGCCGGCTCGTCGTTTATGTCGTGAAGGGTTGCGAGGTAGGGGTGACAGAGTGCCTCCTCCACTGGTGGGATTGGACAGGGAACACAGGGAAGAAGGCAGGAAATGTTTTTAGGAGAGAGGGCTTGGGGGCAGGCAGAGGCTCGTCACACGCTGGCCCGTCGTTGATGTCGTGCAGCATGGAGTGGTAGGGATGGCACAGTGCTTCTTCCACAGGGGGGAAGGGATATGGGGAAGGGGAAAGAAGGCAGGAGCCGTTTAGAGGAATGGAACGGCTCGGCACATGTTGGCTCGTCGTTGATGTCGTGCAGTGTGGCTACATGGGGGTGGCACAGTGCCTCTTCCACTGAAGGAATGGGAATATGAGGGAGGGGGGAAGGAGGCTTAGTGGAGGGCAAGGGCTCATTGCATGCCGGCTCGTCGTTTATGTTATGGAGAGTGGCAAGATCGGGATGGCACAGTGCCTCCTCCACTGGAAGAAGAGCGATGGGGAAGGAGGGAAGGCGGGAGATGGTTAGAGGAAGGGAATGGCTCAAGGCTTCACACACACACATGTGTCTTGGCAGCCCAGCTCGTCCACTCTCACCTGTGACATGCATCAGCAGCACACACAGCCCCCACCTGTGATGCGCTTGAGAAGGTCCAATCAAAGTGAGGGTAGCACTTGAGCAACCCTCACCTGTGATTCTCGACACCGAATCGATCGCCACAGCAGGTAGCTGTGGGTAGCGCTGTGATGAGCCAGGGGCTGCTTGGGGTAGAGGGGCGGCGAGTGAAGAGTGTTTTGAGGCTACACATGCGCCTGCCTTAGACCCTAGCCCAGCCCCACAGCCCAGCTTGCCCCGCTTACCCCGCTTACCCCGCCTTCCCCGCTTGTTTTCCCCCCCTCGCAGGGAAGGAGCAGAGCAAGGCTGAGTCATGTTAGACACTCGAGATGGCTGTGTGCTTGCGGTTGAAACATTACTGTCGTCATCAAAGGCCCTCCTGCTTCCTCATCATGTGAGTGAGCCGTAAATTGTAAGACATATATTGTATGCCTTATTATGTAAGCCTTATAACGGGTGCCTTATCGCCCACCCTCACCTGTGATGCGCTTGAGTGGGTCGAACGTGAGCATTCTCGACATGAGGTCAATGGCGACAGGCGGTAGGTGCGGGTAGCGCTGTGCGAGGGGCTGCTTGGGATAGAAGGGCAGCGAGCGGATGTAGCGCCGTGCGTTGTCGGATTGGAGAAACTCGATGTCCGATTCGTCTGGGGAGCCTAGACTCTGGATAGGAGAGGGTGGAGGGAGGAGGTTGGTGGAAGCGGCAGGGATGGAGAGTAACAGCAGAAACTGAGGAAGGGCAGCGATTCCTGTGCGTCGTCTGATTGGAGGAACTCGATGCTTGACTCGCCTTAAGAGCCCAGCCACTGGGGAAGGGGAGAGGGGAGGGGAAGGCACGGAGGAGGGAAGAAAGTATGAAGTACATCGGATGACAAGCTTTGGGTGGTGGGTGGCCCCCGCTGAATAACAGAGCGCATTTCCTAAGCAGCATTGTAACAATGCAGCACAATTTTACTCGCCGGAGTGACGAGTCTAAGCGGCTCCACATTGCGCGACCCTGTGAATAGCGTGCCATGATGTAACGCTGTAACACAATCACACTTCGTAACACCAGTCACTGCAGCGAAGGGCTTCAGCTGTTCCACATAACCCATCCCCGGGAACAGAGGCTCACGATTCAGCCAAGTAGCATTGCAACAACGCTGAAACACTTCTTAACACAACTCACCTTAGTGATAAGTCTAAGCTGTTCCACATAGTCCTTTCCCGAGAACAGCGTGACTTGACATGGTAACACCGTAACAGAACACGAATTAACTCACCTTGGTGATGAGCCTAAGCTGTTCCACATAGTCCTTCCCCGGAAACAGCGGCTCTCGATTCAGCAGCTCCATGAAGATGCATCCCACCGACCACACGTCAATGGCTGCAGTATATGTCTGTTGTTTGGGGAGATAAAGGGGTATTGTAAGGGGGTTGAGAGCGGTTCAAAGAGGCTGCAGTTACGGACAAGTGGATTCAGCAGCTCCATGAAGATGCATCCCACGGACCACACGTCGATGGCTGCTGCTGTGTATGTCTGGTGGGGGACAATGATAGGGGGTGGGAGCGGTTAATAGAGGTTGCAGTTACGGACAAGAAAAAGAGGTTTCAGCAGCTCCATGAATATGCAGCCACGGGCCACACGACGGCTGCTGTGTACGTCTGGTCGGGGAAAGGAATGGGTAATGAAGGGCAATCATGGGTTGAGAGTGGTGAAGAGCAAGTGGAGAATGATAGGGGTTGGGAGCGGTTTAAAGCGGTTGTGTTGTTGGCCCCTAACATCGGCGATTCAGCAGCTGCTTCAAAAGCTTGGACAAGAGACTAGACTACTCCAACAAGACAGTACCTTAGAGAAAAATCTTCAGTACTGCAGCAGAAAGAAGATTAAAGTGGGTGCGACCGAATGGACGAAGATTCAAGAAAACTCAAAACCCAGCTCACAGGGTACACGTCCATGGTTGTTGAGCATACTTGCATCAATTTTGACAATCTCTAGAGTAATCTGTATACCACTACTGCTGACTTGGCAGCCAACCACTGCTGACCTAGCAGGCTAGTGCCTGAAAGGCAACTGGTGCTGACCTGGCAGTTGAGCAGCAGCTCAGGAGCACGGTACCATCTGGTGACCACATACTCAGTGAGAAAGTGCGCCTCTTGCACGGATCTGCAGAGTGTGCGAGCAGGGGGAGAAGGGGAGAAAGGGGGAAGGGGAGAATGGGAGAACGGGAGAAGGGGTGAAGGGGAGAAGGGGAGAAGGGGAGAAGGGGAGAGGGGGAGAAGGGGAGAAGTCGCTTATCTTGAGGTCACAGCTTGTAGTGAGCAATTGGTGGGTTAAAAGGCTTTGAAATGTGGCATGCAGTCCCCCCCCACTCAACCCATTCCCGTACCCCAGACTCCCCATACTTCTAGCACATGTGCACACACGCACCTTGCAAGGCCAAAGTCGCATATCTTGAGGTCGCAGTTGGCACTGAGGAGCAGGTTGGAGGGCTTTAAGTCCCGATGGAGTACGCTGGCGCTGTGGATGTACTTCAACCCGCGCAATAGCTGGTAGAGGAAGTACTGTTGGTGGGGAGAGGGGGGGGTGGAAAGAAGGATGTAAGAGGGGGGAGGGAGAGGAGCAGCAGGTTGGAGGGCTGTAAGCCATGGTGATGCAGCGCGCTGGCGCTGTGGATGTGCTTTAACCCGCGCAATAGCTGGTCGAGGAAACACTGCCAAAGGGGAAAGGAGGGGAAGCGGATGGTGCAGGGAGAAGGGGAGCAAAAGGTTGGAGGGGGTTGAATGACGCACCATCCGCATCCGTCAATGGATGCCGTTGAGAATCACGTTACTGAAGCACACTGGCGCTGTGGATGTACCTAGTATATGACAGCAGCATTTGTCCGGACTGAATGATCTTATGAATGTCCGTGCCCATCACCTCGTACCCCTGCATGCTGTATCATGCATCCCTGGACACGCACCCACCCACCCACCTGCCATATGCTCTTCCAATGGCATGTCCGTCATCTTGTTCACCACATAGATTCAAGCTCGGAAGAAATACACCCCCTGCGCCCTCCAGCTACCCCTTACCCAGGGCATGATGCACCCACGCACACACCTGGCAGTGCTCCTCTGATAACATCTGTCTGGACTGGATGATCTGATGGATGATCTGCTGCAAGTCAGTGTCCAACGGCTCATACACCCCATGCACGGTGTGTGTATGATGCCCCCCCATCAACCCCAAAAACACGCACCTGGCAGTGATCCTCAGGCAGTATTTGTCCCGACTGAATGATCTGATGCAACAAGTCTGTGTCCATCAGCTCGTACACCACATGCACCCCAAGAGCTCGCATACAGCACATGCACATGCAGTGAGAGCGTTGCACATCCTGAGGGAAACACACACCTGGCAGAGCTCTTCTGACAGCATTTGTCCCGACTGGATGATCTGATGCAGGTCCGTATCCATCAACTCATACACCACATGCACACACATGCACACACATGCACACACATGCACACACATGCACACACATGCACACACATGCACACACATGCACACTGTATGATGCACCCCTTCCCCACGCACCTGGCAGTGCTCCTCTCACAGTATCCATCCGCTTGCACACACACATACATGCACCCCTTGCTCTCTCCAGCTGCCCAATACCCAGCATATGATGCACCCCTTCCCCACGCACCTGGCAGTGCTCCTCCGATAGTATTTGCCCTGACTGGATGATTTGATGCAAGTCTGTGTCCATCAGCTCGCACACCACATACAGATGCAGAGAGTAAAATGCACCCCCTTCTATCTCCATCCCCACACACACACCTGGCAGTGCTCCTCGGACAGCATATGTCCTGATTGAATTATCTGGTGCAGGACCGTGTCCATCAGCATACACTCACATGCTCGCTGTGTACCCTCTCCCCTACCCCCTCCTCACATACACATAAACACACCTGGCAGTGCTCCTCAGACAGCATTTGTCCCGATTGGATGATCTGATGCAAGTCTGTGTCCATCAGCTCGTACACCACAAACACCCCTTCAGCTCTCATGCAGCACCACATACAGATGCAGAGTGCATAAAGCAACCCCTCATCTCAAACACACACACACACACACACACACACAGACACACGCACACACACACACACACCTGGCAATGCTCCTCCGATAACATCTGTCCTGATTGAATGATCTGGTGCAGTGCAAGTCCATCTCCATCAGCTCGTACACCACATACACATGCAGAACTTATGATGCACCCCCTTCTATCTCCGTCCCCACACACACACCTGGCAGTGCTCCTCAGACAGCATTTGTCCCGATTGGATGATCTGATGCAAGTCTCTGGCCATCAGCTCGTGCACCACATACATGGTGTTTGATGCACCGCCCTCACCCTCAACCCCCAAAACACACACCTGGCAGTGCTCCTCTGATAACATCTGTCCGGATTGAATGATCTGATGCAGGTCCGTATCCATCAGCTCGTACACCACATACACATCGTTGAAGCTCGATCGGTCAGGCGGAGGGATCACATCTCTAAGTGCGACCACCTATAAGGGGGATAGATGGATGGATGGGAGGGTGGATGGGTGGCAGATCGGACGGTGGGTGAGTGGATGGGATGGATGGATGGGTGGGTGGATAGATGGATGTACGGACGGACGGACGGACGGACGGACGGACGGACGGACGGACGGACGGACGGATGGAAGGATGGATGGATGGAAGGATGGAAGGGAAAGATGAACCAATAAATAACCTCCAATTGTTGGAGGGCCGAAAGCAGTCTTCCTCTCATAGCACAAGCATGTCCTCATTCCTCTCATAGAACGCTCTAAAAAGGCCGAGCTCCCTCACTCACTCACATTATCACGCACTCATTTCCTTACCTAGGTGTTATAGCCAAAGTGCCAGAACAGCTGGATCCCTCAGAACATTCTCTTGGTTCTGATGTGATTGAAGTGCCTTACTCACGCGAGGGTTCTACCCCGCATGCTGAGCTGAGGGTACGTGCTCACATGCCGAGCTGAGGGTACGTGCTCACATGCTCACATGCTCGTATGCTCATGTTGGAAGAATTCAAGCTAGAGGAGTCAATCTGCCTCACTCACATTCTCATGGTCGAAGTGTCGCAAGAGCTTGATCTCTCTCAGAGTGCGCTTGGCATCGATGCGATTGTCAAAGGCGTTTGAGATCTTCTTTATTGCCACCTCCTCCTCTGTCTCTATGTCCACTGCTGAGCTGCACAAGTGAGCAAGAATGCGTGGTGTTGATGGGTGTGTGTGGATGAATGTGGATGGGTGTGGATGAGCGTTCATCATGTCAAAGGCGTTTGAAATCTTCTTCATCACCATCTCCTCCTCCGTCACTATGTCCACTGCAGAGCTGCACGGATGGACGGGTGTGGAGGGGTGTGGACGGGTTTGGATGGGTAAGGAGGGGTGTTGAGGGGTGTGGATGGGTGTGGAGGGGTGTTGAGGGGTTTGGATGGGTATTCATCATGTGGGTGCATGAGTGCGTGGATGGATGGATGAGCAAGTTGATGATTGCACTACGGCCATCCCTTGATCGCCACCTCCTCCTCCATCTCTATGTCCACCGCTGAGCTGCAGGAATGGATGGAGGGATGGGTATGGAGTGGTGTGGATGGGTATGGATGGGTGTGGATGGGTGCGGATGGATATCCATCACATCAAAAGCGTTTGAGATCTTCTTGATCGCCACCTCCTCCTCCGTCTCTATGTCCAGCGCTGAGCTGCATTGCATGGACGGGATGTGTCTGGATGGGTGTGGATGGGTTTAAATGGGTGTACTGTGAATGGGTGTGAATGGGTGCCAATGGAGGTCAGAAGCGCTTGGATAAATGTTCGTGTTCTGATCGCCGCCCTTCCACCTCCTCATCCGTCTCCATGTCCAAAGCAGAGCTGCAGGATGAGTGGATGTTACAGTTACAGATGTTCAAACATGTCATATCCATCTGCAAATGCGGGGGCGGGTGTGTGAATGGGTGAAAATGGGTGTGAATTTGCGCATTGAACATTCTCCACACCCCCCCACTCCCCACTCACCACACGATGCCGTACACGCGCACAATGGGCCGAATGGGCTTCAAGTATTTCGTCGACACCTCAAAGATTTGCCCGCAGATGTCGTATCGGCAAATGGAGAGGGATGGGTGCGGACGGGCGCAACATACACCACACACCACACTCACCCTTCTCCCCACAGACCATCTCAACCCACTCCCCACTCCCCACTCACCACACTCCTCACTACTGCTCCCACTCCCCACTCACCACACAATGCCATATGCCCCGTGTCCAATGGGCCGAATGGGCTTCACGTATTTAGCCGACACCTCAAAGATATGCCCAGAGATGTCCTCTCAACCGGTGGAGAGGAATGGGTGGCGTGAATAGGTGAAAATGGGTACGAATGAACGATCAGAACACCCTCCACTCCCCACTCACCACACAATGCCGTACGCCCCGCGCCCGATCGGCCGAATGGGTTTCACGTATTTTGCAGAAACCTCAAAGATATGCCCGCAGATGTCATATCGCGTGTAAGCGCCCCCGTATGTCGGCACCCCCACCACCTCCAGCTCATACTGCTGCACCATTGGTGCAGGGGCCGCGCCCCCTGCCGCGGCGCCAAGTGGCGTGTGGAGATTGGTCGCTGTGGCCACGTCCATGGTTGCTGTGCTGACGTGGCAAGGAGTGGGACGGGGTGGGATGGCAAAAAGTGCGAGTCACATAGGTGATGTGGCACGGAATATGGCTGGTGTGCTGGACAGAGGTCGAGTGGCCTTTGAGTCGACTCGAAAGGCAAGGATGGCATAGATTGGCATAGATTGGCATGGATTGGCATGGAATGGCATGGATTGGCATGGATTGGCATGGAATGGCATGGATTGGCATGGAATGGCGTGGGATGGCGTGGGATGGCCAAAATTTTTATCATATGTGTAGGCATGGCACTCCCCTCAACTGGAGTGAGAACATGGAGCGGCATGACAAGATGTTTGTGTGATGTGATCATTGGCAGACGTGAAATTTTCTGTGCCTTGAATGAAGCCATGGCTATCCCTTTACCATTTCCTCACCCAAACGGTATTCCATGCCATGGCATGGATTGACATGGCATGCTGTAGGCCATGCCATGGCATGCCATACCGCTCTCTTGGCGTGGCTTGACCACACCACACCACCACACCACACCACACCCCCCTGCACCACACCACACCACACTTACCATACCATACCATACCTTATCATGCTAAATCCATGTCTTCTACCCACATACCCACAAGCATCTTGTACCTTTACCGAGTGTTTGCAGGAGATACAAGCGCGATCGAACCTAGACCGCCGCGAAGGAGCGGATTACGCGCCCTAACTCGCCGCCCATGGCGCCGCAATTAACGGGGAAATACTTCAAGCGGTTTGACCCATGGGGATTCCAATCCGCTTGAAGGCTCGTGAAGACCAACGGAGAGGGATGCGGAGCAACCGCTGTTTGCTCTGAGACGCGCAAAAGGGTGAGCAGAAGGGACGCGCGCAAACGAGTGGCGGATGGGACGCGCGGAGGCCGCGGCGGCGAAGCGGCGGGCGGAAGGGGCGGGCGGAAGGGACGCGCGGAAGGGCCGTGCGGAAGGGGCGTGCGCCCTATGCCCAAACAGGCCGTGCGGAAGGGGCGTGCGAAAGGGCTGACGAGGATGAACAGCGGCGACGGCTGAGAGGTGATGGACTCGATGATTGTGGGTGGTCACTCGTGGCTGTCGGGCAGAGAGGATTCACGACGCTTGCTCGTAAAAGGTTGAGGACCAACTGCGTCTCGCCCGTTGATGTGAATGCAAGATCAAACTGTCCGTGTATTTCTGCATGGAAATTTAGGGCAGTCTTAGGGTGTGTTACCTCGGACAACACTTGGCTGTTCGAATGCTCTAATTTTGGGGGTAAAGCAAGGTACAGTACGGTAAACAAAACTGACAATTCGTTTCATTACGGTTGCAGCTCAAATTCGCCAGTTCGATTGGCCGAGGTGACGTGCCCCTAGGCGGAAGGTAGGTAGCTGATGATGTGTTAGAAACAGGACCGTGACAACATTTGAGGGATGGGAAGACTCGCGAAGTGGCCGAGAAGGGTAACCGGACACCTGAACGAGGAACTGTAACTGTTGTCGACAAGGAACGAGGAACTGTAACTGTT